CCACGCTGTCCCCACAGTCATAAAGGCACACCACCACACTCCCTGACGTCGCACTCTCGCAGGGATCCCCGTGACGTGCTCTTGCTCAACACCCTGTAGGCTCACTGGGACCCAGTCTCTGTCTCACAGTCGCACACGCGCAGCCCCGGCCGCCCCAGCCCCCCTGCCCCGCTCACCTCGCCGCTGCACCGTGAAGCTCTCACCAACACCGTAGTTGTGTCTGCAGACCGTGTCCACCTCGGCGCGCTTCTGCTCCATGAAGTCCTTCTGCCCGTTCCAGTATTTGGCGTCAGGCCGCCCCAGCTCCGTCACCGCCCGGAACTCCCCCACTTCGTTGTCGAAGCGCACATACTCCTCCCCGTTATAGAAACCTCTGGCCAGGTATCGCACCCGCTCCGTCCCGTTGGTGAAATGGCACTCGAACTTCCCCAGGAACAAGAAATGTGCTGTGGGGACAGGGCGACACGGTCACTCGCGGGCTCCCGGAAGACACTGACGCCGCCAGCCCTCGGGGCTCCATCCGCACCCCCAAACCACCAGCACCCAAGGCTCTTCTCTCCTCTAGAGGCGGGGGGGGGGGGGGGGGGGGGGGGGGGAGGTGACCCCTCTCCTGGGAGCCACTCAGGGTCACTGCGTTCCGGGTTCAGAGGCGGACCTCCCAGCCTGAGGATTTGCCCCTCACTGCCTCCTCCTGGACGCCTCCTCCCGATGGACACCCACCTCTCTCCTCGCCTCCCACAGCCCTTTCCTGGCCTCACACACGTCCCACCTGCGTCCCCCTCCCCCACCCCCACCCAACACTTGGTCTGAGCTGAGCTGGCTCAGGCCCCTGCGAACCCAGAGAAGGGAAACACCCTCACATCCCCTCCACTCTCGGGTTAAAATTTATGGAAAGTGATGGACAAAACCCAGCCAGGCAGGGCTTTATTTACCTGGGGGGAGAAATGTCACAAGACAAGCCTGCAGTTCTAGAGCAGAGGATAACTGGATGATCTTTGTTTCCTTAGGGCGCCAGACAGGTGGTCTCAAGGGGGATGTTTAAGATGTGACAGGAAAGAGTAACTAGATGTGAACTAGGGGGCGTGTGTGTGTTTGATAATTCTGGGAAAGGTAATACAATGTGCAAAATCTTCAAAGAATTGATGAACTTCCTCAACAAAATGGAAAAAGGGAGTTCACTGAAGCACAATGGGACAAAGGAAGGCAAAAGGTTAGACTGGAGAAATCACGGGGAGCTGGCAGTAAAAGCCTTACAGGTGATGTTGGGAGTTTGACTTCATACTTCACATAATGGGAAACTACTGAAGAGTTTTAAGGACATTAAAACCATGACTGCACTACAGTTCCTCAAGTCCTTACCTGGAATTTCCAAACTCCAGAAACCTAGGAAACCAGATCTTTTTACAAGTTTTGATGCCAAACTCTTTTGCCAAATCTACCCTGATGAGGTAAAGGGTCAAACATGTCAGACCTCTTATTGGTCAGTCAGTCACATGGGCTTCTGGAGTTTCAATATATAAACACACACATCATAATATATGTACATACATGCATATACATACATAAATATACACACATATACATACATGACACATATACGTATACGTATGTATATATTTTGATGTTTTATTTTCTGTTTAATTGAACTAAGAAAAATTTTTTATTCACGTGGAATTGACATGAACATTTTAAAAATAGTTTAAAAATACTTGTGCCTTTAAAAATGAGACAAATAAAAGGAGTTTTCGACATTATCAACCGAACAGAATGTAGCATTACTGCACAAGTTTGATACATTTTACAGAAAAATACTTGTGACGGTCACAATTGATGACTCATAAGGCAAGCTGTCGAAAGTTAACAGAGATGCTGATGATCAAGAAATCATGAAATCTTATAAAACATTGCATAAGGCAAAGAATAAAAGATGAAGATCTCGAGCTTGCATTGACTGAGTGGACTCAGCGAGAAAGTGTTCAATCTATGAACTGTTGATCTTATTATTTTTTGTAATAAAATAAGCTAAACTACACCACAAAGACCTGAACTGGAAGGTGAGTCTGTGTATAAAGGATAAGTCTAGAGGTTTTAGAAGCAGCACAGTATAAACCAGTGTTTCCAACATCAGTACTCTTGACATTTTGTAAGAGATATTTTTTGTGGGAAGCCTGTTCTGTACGTTGTAGATTGTTTCCTAGCATCATTAGCCTCTACCTAGCAGATGTCAGAAAAAAGCCCCAAGTGACTACCAAAAATGGCTCCAGACATTGCCAAATGTTCCCTGAAGTCCCCATATGAGAACCACTGTTACACCACTTGAAAAATCTGTGGTAAAAAAGCCAATGTTAATTCTATGTCAGCTGAGAATTACACTGAAAACTTTGCCAATATTATATCTGGAAAAAAAAAAACCTTTGATACTGAACAAATTTATTTTACTGCATAAATGGCTCTTCACTGAGACCAGATTCTGAAAAAAAAAAAAATCATACTGCCTACCAAGAGAGTATCAAAATTTACTATGAATTCCAACCAAAAGATGATTGCTCTTGGGTGTGCTAATGCTTCAGGCTTACCCAAATCAAAGTGGGCAGACACTGGAAAAAGCCAAAATCCAGGATGCCTGAAAGGGACAAATATTTTACTTGTGCATTAGTTTTCAAAAAAGATAATATGGATAACCAGATACATATTTTATTTGGTTCAAAACCACTTTGTATCAATGGGCTTCGTTCATGAGAGGCAAGCTGGACTGGGAGAAACCTGGAAATTAATTGTCCCTGTATAATTGTTCCACATACTGTACTCCTCAAATTCTTATAAAAATTAAAGCTTTGGCTTCTAATTCTCCCCCTGCCCCACCACCAAGTATGACGTCTATGTTGCAATCTTTGAACAAGGAATTTTCTTATCCCATGAAGATCAAGTATAAAAAACTTTTAAACTCTGTTCTTGATGCAGTTTACAGAGGCCTATGAATCCACATCTTCTGAAATAAGTTAATGGCTAGTGTTATGACAAAGCTAATGTTTAATAAACCAACCTGAAAAACTGCCTAGCAAGACTTTGGGCTACATCTGAGTTTGCAAATGAACTACCAGTTGAAGACATGAAAACTGTCATGTGATGAATGAGAAAATATTATATGACACTTCAATGTATGTAAAAGTTTATCCAAATAAGTCCAAGGAATAAGGTGGACACTTGAGATGAGCACCAGGTAGCGTATAGAAGTGTGGAATCACTACACTGTACATCTGAAACTGACATTAAGCTGTATGCTAACCAAATGGAATTTAAATAATAACTTTAAAAGATATTCTCTGCCTAAATGTATACCTATAATCTTAAACAATCAAACAAACAAATCAGTCAAAGGTGCTGATCCAAAAATACTTATCACTGATGAAGGGGTCACACGGGGCATTCCCTGAGTGATGGAAACATGGTAGTGGTGACTGAGAGCGCTCCCCAACTTGCTCCCTACACTCCAGCTTCTCTAGCCTTCCTTCTGTCCCTTGCACTCAGCAAACATCTTCCCGCACTTGGCCTTTATCCTATTTTCTCCCCCTACAACACTTGTCCTGTACATCCTTCACTTGCCTGGCTTCTGTCACCAGTCATATCTCAACTCAATGTCACTTCCTCAGGGAGAGCTCCCTACACACTTGAACTGAAGTCAGGTGTATCCAGTTCTGTCTGTTTCACAACCAGGTGTATTATTTTTCAGCATACTTATTGTTGTCAGAATTTTTGTTGCTATTGTTAAATGTTTATTGGGCTTTCTCCTCTGTCATTACATAAAATCCATGATGGTAATGATCTTTAGCCTATTCAAATAGAATTGACTGAGCCCAGAACAGAGCCTAGTACATCATAGCTGCTCAGAGAAATGTCTGTGATACAATGGATAAACACAGGGCTCTGAGAATCAGTCATTGTGAGGATCCTGGAAAGCAAGAAGGGGCTCAGGTCCAACATTCTTTTACTCTGATGATACATTATATCCCCTCCACTTCCTGTGAGAAATCCACACAAACTACCTCCTTCTCCGTCTACTGTTGGAAAAAATATCACAGGTAAGGAAAAGGCGATTTTAAGAAAAAAGAAAAATCTCATTAAGTTTCAGCTCATCCTGTAGATCTGTGAGAGTGCTGAGGTCTCTGCATACATGGGGGATTCACAGTAATGGTGACAGCGTGGCTCGGTAAAGAATAGGAACTGGAAGTGGAGGCAACCCAACATGGTTATTAAGGAAAAACAGAAAACATGAGGAATAAACCTATGCCATCTGGGGACATCACCTCAGTGAGCCAATATATTCCCTTGACCTGCATTTTGGCTTTCAGTCCTGTGAAATGTAAACACCTTCACGCTCTCTATACTCTGCTCAGGGTAGATAGTTGGAACCATATGAAATTCCTGATGTTGACTATTTTTGACTTACAAAGCCATAATTGCATATAATTTATCCTATACTAGTTGAATCCCTTCCTGTGGGCTCAGGCCACAGAACAGAAAGATGCAGGAGAAACGGACACCATAGAAAGGTTCAACATAGATTCATAATGAAAAATTAACTT